CCACTCGGCCGGCCCTCCTTCTTTTCTTATAAAAATAAAATTTCAGAGTAACCAGAGTCAATAAAAGAATATTCTTTAAAGAACTGAAGGGAAGAAATACAAAAGGAATGAAAAAATTAGAAAATGGCTAGAGTAAGTCCTTACTTAACATCATCGATAGGTTCTGTGACTTTAAGCGAAATAACATATAATGAAACCAATTTTACCATAGGCTAATAAATATAAACAAGAGTTAAATCCTAATAGCATCTCCTCAACATTATAGCAAAATGCTGCTGAATTAAATGACATTTTTCAAGGACCTGTTGTATACTGCAACTCTAATGAAATCGAGGATCTAGGGAATATTCATCAATGACTGCTTAAAACCATTTGGTAAAATGTTGAAGGGAGATTCAACACCAAAGACATAATCCATGAAAGAAATAATTGATAAGCTAGACTTAATTATAATGAAAAATGTTTGCTCTGCAAATGACACTGTGAAGAGGATGAGAAGACACGACACAGCCTGGGAGAACATATTTGCAAAAGACATATCTAATAAAGGACTGGATCCAAAATGGAAAAAAACAAAACAAAACAAAACACACACACACACACACACACACACACACACACACACACACACACACACACAAACCCTCTTAAAACTCAACAATAAGAAAACAAAGATCACTGTTCAAAAAAATGAGCCAAAGATCTGAACAGATAATTTAAAGAAAATACACAGATGGCAAATAAGCAAATAGAAAGATGTTCCACATATGTCATCAGAGAAATGTAAATCAAAAGACGATACCACAACATACCTATTGGAATGGCCAAAATCCAGAATACTAACAATACCAAATGTTGGAGAGGATGTGGAGCAACAGGAACTCTCGTTCACTGGTGGGAATGCAGAATGGTATAGCGACTTTGGAAGAAACTTTGGCAGTTTCTAACAAAACTAAACATACTCTTACCATACAATCTATTGGGTTGTCAGAAAAGTTAAGACGCATGTTACCAACAGATGGCACTTGTTCATTTTTGGAAGTACTAGAGTCATTCACATCTATTTATTCCTATGTCATTTGACAGCTGACAGTTCTAGCTTCAGTCAAAAAAGAAATTGAGCAATTTGGTTGAATTTTGGAGATTTTACAAGTTGAAGAT